TTTTTTTTAAATTTAACCCCCACTATGAATCTTACAATGCAACCCTGTATAAGTTTACTCAAAAGCAAGTCCCACTGTGCTCAAGTTATGTTCAGTGACTATATTAGAACTGTAGCCTCATGGCAGAATCCCATGCAGAAGTGGATTCATTTGTGAGTAACAGTGAAATCTTTTGCATGTTTTGAAAAAAAATAAGTCATACAGCTCTTAGCATTCTCCAGCCAAGCTGTATCCTGGAAACTGCAGGACTTTTTCCCATCTAAATACACTTAGGATTGTACCTTACCTCATTTACTTACAGATACCTTACCTTATTAATTTCAATGGATCCGCTCTTAATAGGACAAACATGGATACTCCACTCTCTCTCCCAGGCAGTTACCCTCTTTACATATATCCATGGAGTTATAAATGGCTAAATTCAGTGAGTTTTCAGACTTTTACTAGCATGCTATGTTGACAACACTGACAGTGGGATTAGTTCAATACAAGAGCACACAAGAACTATGGTAGTTTATCACACATACTATTTACTCTTTCACCAAAGTAAAATTCAGATTTTTGAGGACTCATATGAACTGAAAATACTCCTCAGTTAAAAGGAACAGTCAGGAATTTATAGTGGCTAGTTTGTATCACACTCTGCTGGCTAGACCCAATTTTATATAGGGAGAGGTTGTGGTAGGGGAAGCTTGACAGCATTTTAGAAATGTCAGAAAAGAACCCTAAATATCAAATCCTAGGCAATTTTACTTGGACGAAGGCTTCATTTAGTTCAATAAGATTTAGCTTCTAGTATGTAGGGTTTCAGTATTTGCATGGCATTTCAAGCAACAGCTTTATAACTATGCCCTTTACTATTCCACTTAAGTTTACATGCACAATAATTGTACAGCTTTTTCCAGCTGCACCTTATAACACTTTTGTATCAGCTATTTTACAACAATGGTGACATCTGCTGGTGCTTAAACTTTCCTTGGTGTTTAAATTCATTTCAAAGATTCACTTTAAGAATGAATATTGACATTTTCATGAACGTGTCTTCCCATCATATTAAGTATATTATCTTAGAACAACCAGCCACTTCAAAAAAACAATGCTAGATTTATTTTCTGACTGCTTAAAGTCATCATTTTTCCAGAGCTCCCTTATCATGTAGCAACAAATTTGGCTAATGAAGTAATCTGACATGTTCAGGTGAATACAATTAGAATTCTCTCCTATCTTCCCCATCCTGAAAGCTGGCAGCTTTCACAGTCCATTTTAAATGGAACTATAAACAGATGAGAATGCATATATTTACCACTGTTTCTGAACATACATTGCAGAGAGTAACCTGACCCTAAATTAAATAAACAGGGTAAAAGATACTGGGTGTACAAGTTGGCTAAATCATTACATTCCTTGTTAGGGATTTTTTAAAATACATATAAGGGCTATTTAACCAAAAATGTTTTTAAAAAATTGCAATAGTTACCTTCTAAGATCAGAAACCTGCTCTACCTCAATTTTATGACACACAAATAGATAACTTCGGGCACACTTATTTACACATATTTATATAAGTCCTAAAATTCCCAGCACTCCCCAGAAAGCAGGACAGGAATGAATACAATTGAGCCTTTACAGGACAACCCAACATATATACTCAAGCCCAATGTACAGATAATGATGCAATCTCATAAATATGATTGCAAAGCTGCAAGAGCCCAAGCACCCCATGAATATTTGCTTCTCAGGCCCCCTTTTCCCTCATGTATGAATCCCTCTCCCTTTTCTTGGTGCAACATTACATCTACAGCATTATTAATGCTAATCATAATTAGTCTGAAACCAAAGCTTGCAACTAGAGTTAGAGGCATATTTGGATTAACCATGCTTAACTTTTACAGATGTTCACTGCATCATGAAATTCTAAAGGGGAAGCAGGCTCATAATCTCAAAGCATGCTTCAAAGCTCCTAACCATAGTTAAAAAATTGCAAGCATAATATATGTACTAGACAATACAACCTGCCATGGGGACATACACTGAAGATGATTTGTCTCATGCACAGAAATGTCATATGGTACTTCAGAGCATACCCTTATGTAATATGGGTGCTCCTGGACCCAAAACTATCAGTTGAATCTCAGGCAGACTAGATGGCCAGGAGTACCTTCTTTCAGCTGTGTCTAATTTTCCAACTTGTGGCCTTACCTGGACAGGCAGAGCCTAGCCACAGTCACACAAACTCCGGTAACTTCTTCGCTTGACTATTGTAACATGGTCTATGTGGGACTGCCCTTGAAGACAGTCCAGAAATTTCAACTGGTACAGAACAGGGCAGCACAACTGCTGGGACAAGCAAGTTTGCACGCCCATATCACCCCAATATTATATCAGTTACACTGGCTATGAGTTGAGCTCTGGGCCCAAATAAAGGCGCTTGTGCTAACATATAAAACCTGAATGGCTTGGGACCAGCATACTGAAGGACTACCTGCTGCCATATATACCTATCTGGTCCCTAAGAACTGTTGAGGAAGCCCTTCTGAGAAAGCCATCCTTTAAGAAAGGAAAGAGAATGGCAAATAGAAGAGGACCCTTCTCAGTGGCTGCGCCCCATTTATGGAATGGCCTTCCAAAAGTAGTTTGCCTGGCACCACCTTTACAATCTTTTCAGTGCCAGGCAAAAACAGTCCTCTTCTTCAGACATTTTAATAATTGATTTTATACTTGGATATTATTTATACTGTTTTTACCTGTAACATATTTAACTTTTTGATATCTGACCTCACTGCATATTTCTCTGTTTTATTGTGGGTTGTTTTATTATTATTTTATGAAATATTGTTATTTTATGTAATATTGTAATCTGCTTGCAGAGTCCTTGGACCAGTATAGTGGAATATAAATTGAACAAATAACTAAATATCCTACACAGCCCATTTCTATATATGTTTACTCAGAACTCGGTTCCACAAGTAAATGACCATGGGATTAAAGTGAGGAAATAATAGAACTCAAGGACTGCTTTTTGGTTGGAAACAAGCATCATCTACATTGTTTCTTAGCTCTGCAGAGCCCTACTTGCTAGTATCAAAACTGTGACAGAAAAGAGAGAATTTGCCAACTGAAGTCACTTGAGATTCTTAAAATAATGGGAGGCAACTACATTGAAAGTCAAATTTACTAGATGCCAAAATAAAATACAACCACAGCCTATACATATTCCAGAGGCACCAGAGTCTGTACAGTGACATAGCTGAGCAGAACTAGGTTAGCTGTTTGTTGTTCTTTTTTAACATTCTGGTTTTGTATTTTTACAGATGTGTTCTGCCTATATTTTTGTTTTCAGGCTGAAACCTCTCTCAAAGCTATTTTTAAAAGGCACTCTTTTATTCTAGAACATTACAGCCACAATAAAGATCAGATTTCAGATGCAACAGCACTCAAGCATCTCATGTATTTGAACTCATGACAGCTTAGGGAAGCAAAGTGAGGAAAAAACAGTAATCAGCAGCTATGTCTAAACATAATCTGCTGCTAGGCTGAACATGAACACAAACTACCTTGAGTAGATACATCTAACCTGTACCCCAGGGGTCCTCAAACTTTTTAACTGGGGGCCAGTTGAAAGGTGCCGGTGCTGGGTGCGGGCCGGAAAGGTGGTGCCGGTGGTGCGCACGGGCTGGCATGGGGGCCGGCGTGGGGGTGGTGCACACGGGCACGTGCGCTGAGGCGGGGCTCGTGGCGGGCGGGCAGGCGGGCGGGAAGGCAAGGCAGGGGTGGGCATGTGCCGCGAGATGGGCATGGCTGGCCACATCCAGCCCCTGGGCCGCAGTTTGAGGACCCTTGCTGTAACCCTTTAAAAATCAGTGGAGGTGCCACTACTTAGAGCAGGGGTGGGCAATTCTGGCTCATGGGCCTTCCAAATCCAGCCCAAGGCATCTCCTTCCCAGTCCTGTCTTTCTATGTACCTATCAGCTTTTTTAAGGGGGGAGGGGACCAGTTTTCATTGATACCAATGGAAGCTTTTTTCAAAACTGCTGATTGGGGAGATGAACTGGGAAGTGGGAAGGGTTTTCACAAAGGGAATGATTAATGCTGTTCAGCTACAACACTGTCTTAAAATTACCTTCTGCATGGCAATTAGGACCTTTAAAAAAGCTTGCACTGCTGCCAATGGAAGGTTTTCTTAAAGTCTTTTATCTGCCAAGTGGGATATAGAGCTGGGAGGAACAAAGGGGGAGAACCAAGGAACAGACAGAGTGGAGTGGATATATAGGGGTGCAAATAGATCTGTGTACATGAAAGGGAGTATGTGGCCTAGTGCAGTCCCTTAAGATTTCCCCTGTGGGAATGCAGCCCTTGGAAGAAAAGAGGGTTCCCAACTTTGGCTTTGAGAAAAGAACTGGGTTCAGATTTGTCTGTTTCACTATGAAACCCAAGGACAAATTGCACCCTTTCAAATTCAGTACTTCACCAGTGAAATGGAAACATCCTAAAGGTTCAACATTTTGTTTCTGGAAAGCAGCTATTGGGAAGTGGAGCATGAGGACAATAGCTTTCCCTTGTTCCTTGCCCCGATCTGATACTGAAAGATACACTGTCTTGGCTATTCTAACAGGAAATCACCCGCAGACCTATCTGGCTCCTTCTAATAATTTTTTAACACCATCTCCAGCTAAGTACCTTAACCATATCTTGTAGTAAGGCACGCCACAAATTCATTGTGGAATTGTGTGGCAAAAGGTACTTCTTGTCTGTCCTGGATGTATCCCTAATGTTTATCAGGTGCCTCCAAGTTTTAGTGTTATAAAAAGTTATTCACAGTTATTCCAAGACTGAACATGATAAAAGTCACAAAGAGCTTTAAGAAGGATGGTGGTGTATGGTTAAAGAACTCCAGAATAACTTGGAAGGCCATCAGCATTAGATAGCACCAAGGAAGAATGGCAAAGCATGTGGATAGAGAATGATGAGGGGAAAAGGGCTGTGTCATGTCACTGGACACTAATTTTGGAAGGGGGGTACAAGCAGAAGGTCATGAGTGCTTTTAGCTTCCAACTCACTACTACACAAAGCAAAATGCCAGACTAGATGGAAAACCAATTTTGGTTTAGTGGTTGAATATCAGACTAGAACCAAGGAGAACTGGTTCAAATCTCCCATTCAGCTACAAAGCTCACTGGGTGCCCCTGGTCCAACTACCCTCTCTAAACTAAACCAACCTCACAGGATTGTTGTGAGGACAAACATATACCTTCCCATTTTTAAAAACCCAAAGTGAGCTCGCGAAAAATTATCAAACAAATAGCACAGCAACACTCGGAGAAGTGAATGGTCGGAAAAGCCAGTTTAAACAAATTCGCTGTCTGACCTATCGCAGCAGGGAGGTCATGGGGGCGCCACCACAAAATGGGGCAAGCCTCTGCGCCGCTCTCCTTGATGAAAGGACGCACCAGCCCCTTGTGCTGCACGCCGACTGCTCCGCGCCACCGGCACCGGCACCTGCCCAAGCAGCTCTTCAGGCAAGCTCGCCTCGCCAGGCCTACCTCAGCTCAGCCACGAGCAGCCGCCATCGACACCTCTCAAGCGCCACTGGCGACACACCGGCAACTGGGGAAACTCGGCAGAAACGACTACTAGAAGCCGGCCCTGTTTTTGACACTTCCGGCCAAAGCGCTCCTCCTCTCTAATGTCTGTCGCAAAGCTGCCTGAGGCCTTTAACTCTACCCTCAGAAGAACATAGAGAAAATAAATTCTCCTCTCCTATCTCTGTGCGCACAAAAACAGGCTCTTTCCATTTTTACTGAAGCTAAAACTAAGTGCCATTCTATAACCTTCTATCTCTATAATATTCTTTTTTTTTTTTTGGTGACGCGCATGCGTACCTGATTGTATAAACCAGCGCTTGAATGTCTCTAGCTGATATTTCCCGGGGGGGGGCGAAAATACCCCTTACACCTGGATTCTCATTGGTTTCTTCCTTGACGTGGTACCGAAGGAGCAAGCGTGGGCTTTCTTTATCCTAACAGATCGCGTATCCCACACAATGATTACCATAGAGATTAGTAAAAGACTCATGACGTTTCAAAAACATAGGGGTTTTTTTCTACAGAAACCTAACTCTATGGTGTTCTCGCTCTCTTTCATTGGCTGTGAGACAGCACGAGGACGACGTCAACGTCCTGCGTTCCATTTTTTTCTGAAAGCTGATTGGTCTGCCTTTGCGTCACACCGGAACCAAGATGGTAGTATGCAGAGCTTACTTTCTTCGTTAGGTGACGTTCGCCGGCTTAACGCAGTATATTAGCTAAAGCTTGCTGTAAGCGCGGAGGCAGGCGGAGGGTGGGGCTGCGGTATGTCCGTTTTCCACGATGAAGTAGAGATCGAGGACTTCGAGTACGATGAGGAGACGGAGACCTACAGCTATCCGTGCCCATGTGGGGACCGCTTCCTCATCACGCGGGTAAGCGGCAAAGGAGGGAGTGCGTCGGTCTTGCCTGAAGCTGGGGCTGAAATGGATGAATAAGGCGGCGGTGCTACATGCGCCTTCTTTAGAATAAGTCCTAACAGACCCTATGATTGTCTTAGTAAGACCTGTTACTTTTTAGTAAAGCATTATTATTATTATTATTATTATTATTATAACATTTCTATGCCGCCCCTTGCCGAAGCCTCGGGGCGGCTTACAACACAATAAAATACATTGAAATACAATAGAACATAATAAATTACCATTAAATACAAAACATTTAGGAATCTGGGAAGCTCGAAACGTGGCTGCAGGCTCCCACCAAGCCATGCTAGTTGTTTCCGTCTTTTTTGCTCCTTTCCGCATCTCACAGTTGGTATTATCATTATTGAATTTGTATTTCGTTCTCTTTATCTTTATTTAATTCTCACAACTCTGTGAGGTTGGTTAGGCTGAGAGGCTGTGACTGGCCCAAGTGAGCTTCATGGTCAGGTGGGGGGACTGGATCCCCCTCTGTCGCAGCCCAGCGCTCTAAACAATACATCGCATTTGCTCTGGAATTTGCTACCACGAGGGTAGAAAAGACCTTCAATGTGAATGGCTTTTTAATGGGATCAGGCAAATTCATGGATAATAAGGCTATCAGTGGCTTCAAGCCATGATGGTCATGTATTATTGTAGCATGGTTGGAGAAATTCAGGGCCAGACACCAAATCTGGTCCTCCTGGATCCTTAATCCAGCCCTCCAGCCTTCCTCAGATGACTTGGCTCCATCATCTCAGCACCCACCCACCCCCTCACCATTCATTTGCTGGTTTCCCAGTTTTTATTATTAATTCTAAAGGTTAAGAGCGTCATTATTGATAGCAAGAGCTTTAACCTACAATGTATTGGTTTTCTGACCTCAACAGTTTTGCTCTTGACTGAACCCTTTTGGCAGCCAGTGCATTTGGGCTGTTTCACACAACAGGATAGTCCATTCTCAGTATGTGCCTGCCATTGTTTTGAATAAGCAAGCCCTAGTGGGGGCAGGAGGATTGCTATATTGTGTGAACCTGGTTGTTTGGTTATGCAAAGGTTAAACTTTTGTTCAACTCTCAGCTTACTGTAGTGTTGTGTAAGGGTAGTTTATACTCTCCATAAATTCTGTTGGCCAGGTTTGTATGACACGTCAACCCTGGGGACTGTGTATTCAAAATGTGCCCATGACTTGCCATGGTTTAAATAATTGACAGTGAGCCCCAGCATGTTGTACAAACCAGTTTACTCTGTCAGCACTGGCATAATTTGATTATGAGTCCTGAAGGGCCAAGCTATTAACATTTAGAAATACTTCTACAAGCTTTTTTTGAACTTCTAGGGTAGAGTGGCTATAAATCAAATAAATACTGCCGTCCATGTAGCTAGCCCAACTTAATAAACAAGCACCTGCATTTTGAAGCAATTAAAATTTTGAAGTGTATTTGAGGGCAGACCCATAGCATGTCTTCATTGTCTAATCCAAAAGTTACCTATATGTATATGTGGTGGTGACAAACTCCTTCTTCAGGAGAAGGTACAGCTGACAAATTGGGTGAAACTGAAAGAAAACAGTGCTCTCTGAATGACAACAGCTAACCTGAAATAATGCTGGATCCATGAATACCTCTGCATTGCATACTTCATTAGGAGTAAAAAACACTTGCATCCAGTGGTATTCTTAAAACTGCTACAGTTAACAACAATTTTATTACCTAAGCAAATAGGAATATTTTCACCTGGCGTTGAAAGTGATTCATGCACAGTTGCTTTTCTTCAGATTCCCACTTTTCTGCTCCTTTGGTCCAACCATTGAGAGGGGGTTTAAAATTAATAGGTACTAAATAACAAGCTAGAACATGCTCACCTACTTCAAGAGGAACTGGTGAAGGGGTTCTGCATTTGGCTTCATTTCCTCACAGCTTCAATGGCTAGGTATGGTTTTGCCTTGTCCAGAAGATAATTTGCTCTTGTGTGGAATTGCAGGAAGATCTGGAGAATGGTGAAGATGTGGCCACTTGTCCAAGCTGTTCGCTCATAATAAAAGTCATCTATGACAAGGTGAGGAGTGAGCATGGGTAGGTGTGGTGATTGTCTTGACCTGTTTTCTGGGCAAAGTGATTCATTTATTTTAGTTTTGCACATTTGTATGCATTGTAATATATTATTGGAATTCATAATCTCTTATGATACTCCATAAATTGTCAAGAATATGCTGCTATAGGAAATGTACAGTTTATACGGTGCCTATCTGGAAGTATTCTTTTTCCCCATTTAATAAGGTACATTTACTTCCAGTGAAATGAATGGGATGCAAATAACAGCAGTTATGTCCTAAAATTTCCTGGCACTTCTCTTGTTATCACAGAATAATAGAATTTCTCTTTAGACTATGATCCATGTTTACTGGAACACATGGTTTATATTCTTTTTTTTTTTTTCTTCCAAGGAGGAGATTGCATCAAGTCAAAGCAATATGTCGATGGCCTTTCAGAGGCCTTTTGAAAGCCTTTACATGGTCAACAGTCTCAGTGTAAATCCTAAGCACACTTACTAGGAGCAGGTCCCATTGAAATCAGTGGAACTTGCATCTAGGTCAACATACTTAGAGCTATACAGAATTCTGTTAACAAGGTATTTAAATTTAGCAGTATAGGCAAAAGTATGTTGATATGGGTTAAGAAGAGGGCCATTGTTATGGACTTTTTGTGCTGCCAAAAACTCTTCTATTTTTTTATACCAACAAGCTCATCTCAGTGGAAGAAATGTGAATAATGGAACAGCATGGCTTTAGGATAAATGAGTTTTTTTAGTGGAGTTTAGGTATGCGACATCTATTTAACTGTACTGATGGTATTCAATGAAGTCCAACCCTGAAGTACAAAGTAAATATATGACTGCTTCAGTTGTCCATCAGCATCCTCTCTTCTGCTTTCAAACCCACATCCAGTTTTTCCTGCTGTTCAATAACAGTATTGAAATGGGGGCCTGTTGTGATATATCATGACAACAGCCACCATTTTAGTGCAAGCAACAGAAGCTGAAAAAACAGGCTAGTGTTTATAGAAGCAGTGGCAGCGTACAATAATGAGGGAAAGAAGGGTGAAGATTTAGTCTGCAAGGCTGAGCTAATGTTGTTGTTCCCCTGAAATTAAGATGTTCTTTATATCTGTCTCTGTGCATGCTTAGTTTGAAGTCAGCCTCATGGTGTTCAGTGCAACCTAATTCCAATAAGTGTGTGTTCCATGTAATCACAGGCTACTCTTGCAATGGGGAGGGGTTGTTGTTGGGTAAGCAATAATTATAAGAGAAATTTTTATAGAAACAGGTTTTTTTTTCCCAGAGATTGTTTTGCTTATTCTAGAAATATTTACATAATAAACAGATTTTAGCAGCTTATTATAACTACTTACATTAATATATATAAATAATCATTTTGGGAGTAGCAGAACTTCAACACAAAGCTCATTCTTCTGTTTGATGGTGGCAGCACAAAGATAAGAATGTTGTTTTCTTATTTTAGGAACAGTTTATATGTGGTGAAGAAGTCTTGGCACCTACAACAAACAAGGAACTGGTTAAATGTTGACAATTATTTGAAACTTTGCTGAACTTGAAGAATACTGTGGTGGTATTTAAGCAGAAGACACAAGGACTGCTTCAGTAGTTTGAAAGAAAAACTGATATGTTTGCTTGCATAAGAAGCTCTTAATATTTATACAAAATAAATTTTTATGGGTAAGATTGAAATAGTGACAGCCCACAATGCATGAAGACGTGTGTGAGCATTCCAAATCTGGCAAGTAGTTGCAAACCAACACTTGTTCCTGTACTCTTGGATTCTTCACAGCCATGTGCAGGAAATGAACCACTGAGTCCTGAATTAAGAGCAAGAAAACTTCATCCCATGCTGTATTTGGCTCCTAAAAGTGTTTTATATCATAGGCCAGATTTGTTGACATCAAGCTAATTCCAATTCTCTTTATCTTTTTTGCTCAGTCACAGCATCCCACGCTGTATTATCTAAGCAAAATCTTGCTTTGACAGTGCAGTTTGCCTTAGATTTAAGCAGGCATCTTTATGTATAAACTTGAGGCACTGGTTTTTATGTCTGGTATATCAGCAAGAGACTTTAGAGATCCATTTGCTTCCATCTTCTCAAATATGTATCTGAAAATCTCATTACTTCCTTGTTTACTTAATTTGTAATTGGGCTTTTCAGGTGGGTTTGCAATTTAGGATGTGATTCTGGTAACACTTTGTGGATATTTTTAGTAGTTTTGTGTGGGAAAATAAGTGTCTGTTCTGCCTTAACAGTTTTTATCTTAGAAAGAATTTGTATAAAATTTAATCTGCCTCCCAGACTGTTGCCATCTAAACAACATGTTCTAAAATGATTGTTACCTCCATACAAGTATAAATAATTCAGCATAACAATTTAATTTTATAATCTTGGAATGAGGAAGCACAGTTTCATTTCATTTTGATATTCAGTGGTAACCCACCACAAGAGTTAATGGCAATACACAGTGGCAGTATGCATTTCTGACTTTTGAGAACTACTTTTGACTGACAATTTATCATCAATTAATGTTTTCTTTGTTGTTTAAAACCATGTGTTACATCAGTTGCTCTTCATGGCCAGCAGGTGGCACTGAAACATTGTATTCACATCAAAGTTTGTAAATGGTATGTTTTTTAAAGTCACAAATAATTATTTTGCACTTTAAACAGTGTCATTTAACACTGAAACAATTATACATTTCAGTAATACATATTCTCTCATAATTTTTAGGGGTAATCATCTGAAAAGCATTAATGGGAACTTTGCCGTTGCCAAGCTTGCCCAATATCATGTTTACAATTGGCATGTGTTCACTGTTACTAGTGAATGATATGTACAAAATTCTATTGGGAAATAAAACACTAAAAAAATCCACACCATCATTGATAGGTAGTTAATATATGGCGACTAGAAATGCCAGTGAACTGATCATATTTGTATATAAAGAAGCTAAAATTAATTGACACAAGAAATAATGCAAAAGAATTTTAGATTCTGCCAGTTTTCATGGAAAACTAACCTATTTCAGGTTGAATTTCAAACTGTTTGGACCTTTCACATGAGCTCAAATGGGGCTAGGTCTGTACTAGTATGAGAGAATGACTTAAAAGACTACACACCTCAAATTCTGTTACATATTTCCTGGCAGAGTGTGGGTGCTCTGTGCTGCTTTCCTGCCTTCCTTGAAACTGACTGATGGTGATCAGCAGTCCTGTAGAGAGTAGTGGTATAGTCCTGAGGGCTGGGTATGCTTACCTTTCCATACATGCTGCTGCTAGTGGGAACTGCCTTAGAATCCATGTATGAGATCTTTTGAAAGTGTTCCCATGTTGAAAAATCCGGTTGTGATGTGGGGGAAAGCTTACATAATTCAGTCAAAGCTAGGAGTCAATAATATTTATTACTGATTGTATATACACCCCCAGGGGAGTAAATGAGAATTGCCACTCCACTTGGCATACAGCAATAAAACTGTTCTGAAGTGCTGGTTGTGAATTCTTACACATCAGTGGAATAACTTAGGTAGGCGATGAAACGATTCAAAAGAAAACTCTCATGTGCCTCTTACAGAGCTCCTGCTAATCTTTGCACTGTTGCTAGCCCATGTCCAATAGGTTTGAGCATGTCATGGATACATTGGCCATAGAGTTCAGCAGATCAGATATACTAATAATATGTGGGCGAAATGGTGTTCAGGAACTATCTCTGAACAAGGAGTTAGCAATAGGCTTGGGCTTGTACCAAGCAACAGAACTTTAGGAAAAATACCCCCAACAATGGAATCCCCCCAAAAAGCCAAATGGAGATGGAGTGCCCATGGTAGCCATAGGATACTATTGAAGAGGAAAACAATGGAAAGTCAGGAATCAAGCATCCTCCAAGACTGCATGATCAGCTGAGCCCTGAATGGAAGCACTCCACAGTGCAAGCAGCTCTGTAATATGATCACCATTTGTTGGGAGGCAAGCTGCTGCTGTATTTTGTCTCTCCGGTTCTGTCACTTCCCCAGCCCATGTGCTTGGGATGGAGAACGTTGGACTGCAGCTCCCAGGACTGATGGAAGCTGTAGTCAGCTAATAACCAGAGGGCTGAATGTTCTTCACTCCTGCCATATGCCAGGCTGCCACATGATGGTCTCTGGAGGACCAGATTGCTTCAGTCTATCCAAAAAACATGGTATATATAATTTAAACTTCAAATAAAGTGTTAGTATGCTAACGTGAGCAAAAGGAGTTCTGCAGCTAAACATTTAAAAGCTGTAGCATTCACATGCTTTATTGGAAGAATATTCCCTATTTCTACAATCCCATCATTCCAGATTATGTGAAGATAAACATTTTCCTCTACTTTCTAGAGAGAAAGGAGGCCACATCTGTGACAGGATACTAGAATGCAGACCTGCAAGCCAAATCCAGCTCTTTGGGGGCCCTTTCTCCCATCTAGCAATCATTCAGTTGCATCCTGGGTTTTGTGTAGTTTCTTCCCCATTCTGAAAGCTAGAAATGCTGCTTCTAGCGGTTATTGACTGGCACTAAGAATTTTAAGGTCATGTATGCTGCAGGTGGGTCTGTTCCTCTGCTCTTAACCATTGGTCCCACCCACTACTGGAGCACTATGCCAAAAAGCTCTGAGATGTAACTGGTCTTTCAGCAGGAAGATATTACGTACTCATGCCCAAAGGTGTACAGAAGCAACCTGAAGTACAGGGAACTAGCCAGTACCCTATCAGCGCTTGCAAGAGCATGTTACTTAAGGTCTAGAAATGCACATGCACATTCATTTAAGAGAGTTTAAACTGTAAGATAAAGTTAATGACCTGAGCCAGAGGTCATTCTGCTAGTATATTGCTGGTATATTGCTCAGATGGAAGGTCTTCCTAAAAGAGGGTTTGTTTGGCTGCCAGATTAGGCTAAATTTAATTTAAAGGCTCTATTTGCCAGCTAGATTGTAGAGGACCACCCAAATGCAAGTTTTCCACTCAGGAAAGCCAAGTTTTCCTTGCTCACTTAAAAAAGAAAGCAAGGCTGTGTCTTTGGTTTCTTTTGTACTAAAGGAAGCATATTAGTAATTTCACTCATTTACCCCACCAGGGTGTGAGAGAATTTACTACATAGTTCTGTCAACAGCAACTGCAAAAATACCTTGATGTTTGATAATCAAAGATTATTCCATCAGTAATGTCCATAATACAATCATTTGCAGGTTCCTCTAAACTCACATTATATAATACAGCGGGACCACAATCAACAATATAGGTTTAAATGTGTGAAATACTTCAGGTTTTCCAGTGGGATTCATTTAGATTTATCTCAGCATCAAGACCTTCTCAGACTTTTGACCATGATGTTTGACATTAGCCATATGTTTGACATTTTATTGGTATGTTGGAGGAAACGGGGGCCTAGCATCCATAATGTACTATATTACTTTATTCATGTAACTATTTCTACACTACCCAATAGCCAACAACAATGAACTACCATTGTGGGCTGCATTGTAGTTTGGATGGAACACACTGTGCAGTGATTTAAGTGGCTACTTATCATTCTGACATGTTTTGCTGTGATTTGAGGGGTGCAGTTGCAGTCCTCAATGGAACCAGCACCAGTGAAAGCACCCTATCCATGATGAGTCTCAAATTACTGTCAAATATTCATTTATTACTGCATATGACAAGGCCGACACATTGTCTTGGGGTCTGAACTTGATAATAATTGTGTGCCACTCCACACCCTAAGAATGGAACAAAAAGGAAGACTTATCAAAAAACCTGGATTAATTAACACTAGAACAATAACATATGATAGATAACAAAACTTAAAAAGTATAATTGTTGTTTGTTTTAAATGGCAAGGGAAGGTGGCTTATTCTAGCAGGAAGTTTAACTTGTGCAATGTAAAACTTGTACCACTTTGTTGTAGGTATCAAAGGCATTATTTACTACATTGAGATCTCCTTTTCTCTCTCTATTTTATCTTCAGCAATGCTGTGAGGTAGGTTAGGCTGAGAAATAGGTCACCCAGAGCTGAGATCTCAACCCCAGTCCAGGTCCAATGCTCTAACCACTATACAAGTTTGCTTTCATGTTTTTAACCTGGAGAATTCTTATAATCAGAGCAATTTTCCTTGTGATTTTCCTATTCTTAATTTTGAAGAAATTTAATGAGGATGACAACCTGAACTTGATTCTATTACTTAAAAGTAAATCCAACTAGGTTAATTGAGATTTCTCAGTAAAGGATTCCAAATGCCATAAGACAAGGATGCTAAAGAACTTTCTACAGGCCTATAACAAAAACTTAAGGTGGAGTAGAAAATCCAGTAATTAGCCCATGGATGTAATTTTGTGGGAGAATCTGGATGACGTTCATGAAGCTCTGACAGAAACAGTGACTCACGAGGAGACCTTGCACTTGGCACCCAGTGCCCAAGAGTTGACCCCACAACCCAATGCAGGGATGGCTGAACCAGCTACTGCATCTTCCCCTGAGCCCCAGCACGTTGAGCAAACGCCTGGACCTTTATCAGAGACCGAGAGTCATGAGAAAGAGGGAGCTGCAAGTTCTACGCAGAAAGAGGCAGAGCAAACTGTCTCCTCCACTCCCCATGCTGATCTCTCTGAGCCAGAAACAGAAGACACAATAGGTGTCGTCGATTTTTCAAGAGCCCAGAACAGACGTCTTTTACGTAGATTTGAACAACTACAAAGTAGACAGTGTAAGAGGGAAGAAAGGCGTGACTTGGGAGAATGATCCCACGTGAGCTCAGAGAGAAAGAGAAGCCGTTATAGTGCTGACCTCTGCTTAGCAAGGACCGCTATTAGGGAACTTATCTGTAGAATTGTAAATCTTGTAGACAATTAACATTAAAGGACTTCAGTTTTATTGCTCTACAAAGAGTGGAATGTTTACATAACTGACACTTGACACTGGACCAATTCATTTTGTACTTGGTAGATTTCATTCAAGGACAGACCTATGGGAAGCCTTCCAGATTCAGCTAACAATACAAGCCAATAAATTCCCATTGCTAAACATTAATGTACATTTAATTTTGCAAGTGCCAGTCTTGAATATGATATTTCAGTGACCCTCATGGAGATAAACTGAGATATAAATTGCAGAACACATGAAGCTGACAACCTGTTTCATGCTTCTTAGTCCAACTTCTGTAAAGATGCAGGCCCTTTCTGCTGTCCTTTTTCTTGCCTTGGTGTGCTTTACTTCAGCCTTTGATAAAAGAATTGTTCGTGCTAATGCCACCTTTGCGAACAGAGCTAGCTATAGCTCAATATCAGTTGCTAATGGAGGACGTTGGGGTGAGTGGACATGGACTGAGATGTGTCCAGAGGGGTCATATGCCACTGGATTTAGTATAAAGGTAAGTATATGTAGCATTTCTTACAATATCCTTACCATAGGATCAGCATGATTTAAAAGATTTCACAATGTCAGAATATTGTTTTCCCTCTCCCTGTATTAGGTAGAGGAGTATGGGGGAGGTGCTTTTGATGACACGGCACTCAATGGGATCCGCTTATTCTGCTCCACAGAGCAGACCAGCCACATTATGTATACCATTGAATCTAAGGTTGGAGAGTAAGTTTAATTCTTGCCAAACAATTTTGATTGATTAAGTAATTGACTGACTGACTGACTGACTGACTGACTGACTGACTGACTGATTGATGTTACAGTACAGTGCTACCTTGGCTCACAAACTTAATCCATTCCAGGACTCTGGTCGTGACCCAAATTCGTCGTGAGCCAAGTTAAATTTCCCATAAGGTTCAATGTAAATAAGGTTAATCGGTTCTGTAACCATTTTTTAAATCAGAAAAATGTGAAGCAAAGTGACAACAACAAAGATTGCGGCCATCTTCCCGCCCACCCCTCAGCAGTGTGCTCATACCAAATGAAAAGAGACATTTTCTTTCCAGTGCTGATTATTTATTTATTTGGAAGACTTATATGCTGCCCCATTTGCATAAGCCTCGGGGCGGCTCGGGGCACATAAGCCTCAGGGCGGCTTCGGATTAGTTTATTTGAAGTAAGAACTTTTCTACTGTCTATAAATTTGCTCTATTTAAACAAACTGCTGTTTGTTCAGTTGAATCTTATACTGAATGAACAGGGCATTTAAAAGTTTAACTTGGTCTAGCAGCCTTTTTGTACAAATATGTGGTAACAGAAATAGTTTCTGCATACTTGCCTTTGTGGTACCTATCATGCATTACATCAAAAATATGAGAAGCTTGGTTACTGACTAAATAACAACTTGGGGTGTATGGCGGATATAATGAATTGAATTCAAAGGTGCACCTCCAGGAATGGAAAGACACTTCACCTTAACAGAAGGATCTTGGATCCATTGCAGGTGTCTGCTGTGGGTAATTTTCACTGATCCTGCAACCTCATATGCCACCACTCACATTGTTCTGGGGGATCTGCCAACCTTCCTGAGCACATTGGAGGGAGATGCAAGGGATTCAGGGGAGAAAGACTCAAGATGATGATGAGGATAATAGCTCTTCTTACAGAATTCTAAACAGAAGCCAGTAGCCTCAGCCCATAAAGAATTAGTAGAGTCCCATTGTAATCAATGCAGCTTAAGAGGTGACTAGCTTGTCACCACTGACTTAGATGAGACATAAGCATTAGTCATAACTCTAACCCTTGGAGTTGAACATAGGATGGAACTTTAGCATAACTAGCTTGTTAAGGATCTGGGAGGGAAATATATTATTACTATTATTTGTGTGTGTAAGAGAGACATATTATTGAATTGAATTCAAGGGACTATGAGCAGAAGGAGACAAAGGTGGTAGCACACTTCTGTAAATGATAGTGCAAGAGTGGGCACAATTATCTAATAGTTACATTTTATAGGAGTTTGTGCGAACTTGTACAAGCACTTGCTGACGCTGAGAATAGCTTGTACAGTGCAGGATATAAAACAGCCATTCAGTGAGTAGAAGTCACCTTCAGCATATAGAAGGAAAATCTAGCTCACTTTATTTACAAATTAACCCTACTTCTCAAAAATACCTTTAAGTCAAGTTGAATGCTGCTTTTAACAGTTTTTCCTTTCTTTTTCTAGCTTTGGGCACTGGTCAGGAGTTAGATGGTGTCCACGGAATGGGGTTTTACAGTCCTTTCAGCTGCAAGTTGAACCCGAGCAAGGGGCGCTGTATGATGACACAGCAGTGAACAACATCAAGTTCCGTTGTAGCAATGGCGTTATCTTGGAGGAATCTGGTGGTCCCTTTGGGGCCTACAGTGAGTGGAGCAAGCCTTGTCTTAATGGTGGAATTTGTGGCATTCAGACTAAGCAGGAGCCATACCAGGGACCTGTGAAAGATGATACAGCCCTAAACGACGTCCGTTTGTTCTGCTGTCAATAAATTCTGTTGAAGCTGGTGGTCCATTCTTTGTGAACAATCTACTGTGCAATGAATATGCATGTGTTTCTCAATTATTATATTACTCTCAAGATACCTTTCAGGGTTGTGGCGGAATTGTTTTCCAGCACTCACAGCACTGTATGAGATAACATTTTCACCTGTCCAGAAAGCAAAACAGGTTGGATTCCATATGGAAAAGTAACACTCCCTCAAATAGTACATTCATTTTAATTTATTTTGTAGATTTATATCATACCTTTTTTACAATAAACTCAAGCAATTTACATTATGCTCTCAATCTTTCCCCCACAACAACAACCCTGTGAGGTAGGTTGGGCTGAGAGTCTGTGGCTGACCCAAAGTCACCCAGTTGGCTCCATGGCTGAGTGGGGGCGGGGGGGGGGGACTAGACCCCAGGCCAACTGAATCCCAGTTCCTCGCTCTTAACCACTACACTTTGTTTTGCTGTATGACTAATGGAAACATGTTCCTTGCCTATGCCCATATAAAGGGAACCATGCATTCACTGTTACTGCAAATCAGATGACCAACCCGTGGTCAATGGGTCATTACAGACCCCCTTGGAGCAACTGCTGTCCCCAACAACCCTTGTTGGTCATCAAAAGGTAACTTTTGTCCATATAGCCTTCAAAGCCTTTGAAACTTTCAATAACCTGAGAGTATTTGGGCTACTGTGTGGAATAAACATCTATTTAATACTAAATAGTAAGTATATGTCATTGGTAGCAGCTATGGAGCCCCCAAATGGCCCATATTTAGCTTGTTTCCCAGCTGAATTGGGTATGTTTGGTGCCCTGCTCCTGCTGTGACACACCAAAAAGATTAAATTTAGCTCACATAATTATCCATTGGAGTGCTCTTTAGCACTCCAGGTTAGTTCATCTCTGAATTTGGGTGGCAAACTAGCAATTACGGGCCTTCTGGGGGGGGGGGTCATCCATCCCACAGATTGCATGCTGCTCCATGGGATGTGGGAGTCAACAAGGGGCCTGGAGCATCCAGAGGCTGCCCACACCTCAGTTACAACGTTCCCTGAAAATGGGGCAGCCATTACATGACCACACAGAGAGCAACGCGAATTTTCCCTAGCATTTTCTCCCCTTTAAAAAATGAAAGCTTAAAATTTGCTCCGTTTCTTACTTTTCTAGAATGGTGAGCATGCCAAATATAGGGGGAAAGATGAATGCCACCCTGTCCCACCAACAGTGCATGAGTGGACGTGTCTGGTGCGTGTGTACACAGATCTTTGGGCCTCATCTAGTTCTCTCCTTCTCACAAGCACCCAGCAGCAGCAAGCAGGTTTCCCTCTCTGTGCTTCCTGAAGGCTGGATCCAGGGCAGAAGCCAGTTGTTCTGCTTCTAGACTGAGCAAGGGCTACTCAATGAAAGGGCTGCATACCCGGCTTCGGTCTTCTATATGGATAGTTTCCCATGCCATTTCCTGGCAGACAGTGGCCCTGTATACTTCAGGGTCAATCCACACAAGAAGGCTGTTCCTGGTCAGACTTTCTTTTATCCTTGCAATGCACAGGTCACGCAAAGAGGCAGAAATACAGCTTGCGATCTTGCCTTGAGCTGATCCAATCAAATCTGTGAGGTTGCATAACATACATATTAGCAGTCTGTTTTCATGGCAATTGATTGAGACAACCAGGGCCAGATATGGGGGCAGGTGAGATATTGGATACTAACCTTGGAAGAGTGTCAAATCTGAGCCACCTGTCTTCCCTGATACCTACTCAGCAGCTGGAAGAAATTATACAAGGGTATATGAGTGATATTTCATGAAACTGATTGCTGGGAGATTCAGGACAGATAAAAGGAAGTACTTCTTTATACAGTGCATAGTTAAAGTATGCAAGTCACCACCACAAGAAGTAGGAACAACATCCAATTTGTGTGGTTTTAAGAAGGGGATTGGCCAATTCAGGGAGGAGCCTATCAATCTTAATGGGTATGTTATCTTTATTGTCAAAGTGGCTGGGGAACCCAGCTGGGCAGGAGGGACTGTTTGGGCAGCTGGTTGGTATTGTGTGAAGAAAAAGCTGGACTAGATGCGCCATTAGTCTGATCTCATGGTCTTTTCTTATGTCCTTATCTGTGCCTATTTGACAAATATTATACGTGTGACAGTCTGAAATTTCCACAATACCAGAAAAGAAGGTATGGGATGTGACAAATCCACATTGTCCCATTTACAGCATCCCCTTTGCTTTTTTATGTGAATGACCAAACTGAAGCACAATTTTCTATTATTCCATATGTGGATAAAATTTTCAGTCATTTCTTAGAATCTTCCAGATTTTCGTAATACCACATTTTCCTCAAACCCACTGAAGTATACTCAGATATTGGATAACTGTGAACATTTTTTGTGTCACCCTGAATAAATGGGGGAAGAATGCCAAAGACAGTCCAAGTAACCCATCTTTGGACTTTTTCCCCTTGGCACCAACCTAGAGAACCTCTTGAGCAGCATCCATGCAACTGCAGAGCAGCCTCTTTCTAAATTTGCATGGCTGAGACTCAGCAATGCAGTTTCCACTCAGCTGCTCCATAGTATTAAAGAATACTTTGGAGCCAAACAAGCACATGAATGACATGCATTTCTAGTGATTTAGCTGTCAGTCAAGTCACATTTAACATCATAGGTATTTCAGTTCTCATTTTTTATTGTAATGCATGGATATATCAATATTAGTACCATTTTGTTAAAATGTTCTTTAATATGTTGTAAGCTGTTCAGAGAGCCTATGGCTAATGGGGTGGATACAAGCCAGACAAATAAATGAAGGTAAGCTCCCAGGTCCTGAAGCAGTGCCATGGGCCACACTGAATAAGGTCAGTTCAGGCAGAGGTTACCCCCTATCCTGGACAAGCCAGAGGGAATGAGATAAGAATGGATAGTGAATAATGAAAACTTGCATTCTTGCAGAGAAAATGTCAGGTACAAGACATTTCTCTCTAAAAAGATTAGGCAAAACCACCCTGCACTGAGGATGACCCATCGTCCTGAGACACCAAGAAAGTACCCCATCAACAGTAGACGGCAAGCACAGACAAATAACTCATCTTTCCATCCATAGAAAATAGACAGCAATAGTTAAAGTCATCAAGAAGCAAATGAGCACCAAACCGAAAATTAGCATAAGTCTGGAAAATGCCTCATTCCTCATAGAGACAAATACTTACAGAAACAGTATAAAGAGGGATTTAGAAGATGGAAGAGTGCACAATCTGAGCACTGGGCTAGTGCCCCAGCCTGTGACCTCTTGCACCAGAGTCTACCCTGCAGGAAAGTTTATGGACTCCTTCTCCCTCTCTGTTAGGTTTTTGCTCTGTTAAGCAGGAAGGTTTTTATCCCTTTAGGAATATGAAGATTGGGATGTAACAGGGATATTTGCTGCCTAGTCAACATCAGATTAAAAACTTAGGCCTGTTCTATATTGTCTGCTGGAATAAACTTCCCCTTGTGTTTGCCTGCATGAATGAAATACCAGGCCTTGTTCTTTCTGGCAATGTATGTCAAAGCTCCACCTTTGGAGTTCATCTGGCAGGCAGGTCCCTCCTCTTGAGATGCATTGATTCCCAAAATTCCCTGGTGCAACAAGATCTTTAATATTTATTTTATATCTTTGATATTTGGCCTTAGAGTTCTGAACTAATTTTTGCTGGAGTTATTTTTTGCATCCAAAGTTAGCTGGAGCAAAGCAGAGATTATGGGTCCACCTCTGATTATCATGACAATGTTACCACTGACTCCAAGGGATGGAAGACTGGGCCCATTCATACTGAATAAGTAGTATATAGTAGTACTTTTAAATATCTAGGTGGGAGTAATGTGTAGGTTGCCAGACCTCTAGGTGGGTCATGCTCTTGCAAAGAATATGTCAAGTTGCAAAAAGAAAAGTTTTCTCATAAATCATGCAGCACTCTGAAAGAAACACCTGCCTCCTGCGACTTGATTCTAAATATGATCTCAGGATCATACCACCACCACCAATATCCTGCTGTTGTAAATGATCTTGCCTAACTGAGGGTTCTGTGTAATCTAAGTGGTCATCATTTTTTATATAAAAGGTCACTTTAGGTGCAATTCTATGGCCTCTATACATTGTCCAGAGGGTGAGAGCAAGGATAATCTGAAATCCTATGAACCTCCCCACCACAACCATGGTTCAGCCCTTTCAACTGCATGTCTTCACTCTTTTTGAGGCGCTTTCCAGGCAATTGGATGAACTACTCTAGGAAAGAAGTGAAGTCTGCTTCTGCCCAGGCAGTTAATTTAGTGTAACTATAGTACCAACCAGTTAAATCAATATATTTGTAATTTGCATTGGACAGTAACTCATTTAAGCATTTCCAAAGCTGGTCTTTCTTTGGGTGGCTTCTCCCCTTGTGTTTGCATGCTCAGAAGCAGCTACCGAGGTACAACATGCACGCCTGCTGCATTGGTTGTGAAGTGGATGGGTACAGGTCTATTTTCTGACTACTTCTTTCAAACACTGGAAGAATTTGGGTCCCCAATTCCTTCTGTTCTAAAGGGGAGAGCAACAAATAGCACATGTGTGCAATTCAGAACAGTAGGATATGTAATAGGTAACAAAAAATTGGCTTTTTTAAACTGCTAAGAGAAGTCAGCTCATTCCAGAAGAAAGGCATGCTGTGTATCTTGTATAATTTTGTGGGAAGTGTCACTGATTTATTATATTTAAAGCCCTCCTTTCACCAAAAAGCTCAATGCAGCCGCAAGAATTTCCTAGTCTTCCTATTTTATCTACACAACGTATCTTCGAGGTAGGCTACAAAGAAAGTGGGCCAAGAACATTCAGAACATCCCATGATGGGAGTCGAGTTATGAACCCCGGTCTTCCCAGTGTAAGAAAAGCACTCACTGGTTTCCTACACGTGTTGTTGTTGTTTTCTAGGCAGAGAATTCTTATAGTAATTCCATCTTTCCCTGTGCTTTTGCTTTCCTTGATGAGTCAGGCAGTTATGAGGATTATCACTTGAACCTAAACAAGTTTACACTGAAATATGTTAACTAATTTTTCTTAGTTAGGAAAATTAGGATTCCAGATTTTATAAGAAAAGGATGGTAAAGTATTTTCTACAAGAAATAATAGGGAGAACAGATGCTCCAGTAATGTTGGAGCAGGACCTACATTTTTATTATACCCATGATGTTAAATGAAAAAACCTGAATCGATTCACTTTGTACTTGGTAAATTTCATTCAGGGACAGACCTGAGGGAAACCTTGCAGATTCAGCTAACAATAACAGCCAATAAACTCCCATTGTTAAACATTAATATATGTTTACTTTTCCAAATGGCAGTCTTGAATATGATATTTCAGTGACCCTCACGGAGATAAACTGAGGTATAAAGTACTGGGTGCATGAAATTTACGGCTTCTTTCATGCTTCTTAGTCCAGCTATTGTAAAGATGCAGCTTTTCTCTACTGTCCTTTTTCTTGTCACGATGTGCCTTGCATCAGCCTCTGATAAAAGAATTCTTCGTGCTAATGGTGCCTTTGCTAGCAGGGCAAATGTCAGCATGCTGACTGTTAGCAATGGAGGACCCTGGGGCTATTGGACATGGACGGACGTGTGTCCAGAAGGGTCATATGCCATTGGATTTAGTACAAAGGTAAAACTATGTGGCACCTCTTACAACACCCTCACCATAATTCTCAGCAAGATTTAAAAGATTTCACAATGTTTTCCCTCTTCCTGCATTAGGTAGAAGAGTACGGAGGAGGTGCTTTTGATGACACGGCACTCAATGGAATCCGTCTATTCTGTTCCACCGCACAGACCAGCCACATTATGTACACTGTTGAATCTGAAGCAGGAGAGTAAGTATAATTGCCACCAAATATTTCTGATTCATTTGACCTTATCTTTAATGAGATGGCAAAGCTAAAAGATGTCAACAGCCCTTCAAAGCTGTGATCCTTGCATCTTTTGCTCTTGGAAAGAATTGCTGCTTATGAAGTAGAAGCAATATAAAGGGATAAATTCTGTGTTATTCCTCAGAAAACTGATAATGGAGAAATTGTGTGGCTTAAGGACAGTGTTTTGCCCTCAAAAGGAGGAATTAGAGCTCCAGCTCCTCTCCCCCTGACTAGCTCTTCCTCCTTGCAGCTGCTATGGAAAAGGCATTTAAGCTGCTGTCCAAGGTGGGGAAAGTAGCCATCAAGAGGGATTTAAGGTAGCATTGCAGGGGGCTGGTGAAGAGGAGATTGGAGAGGTCAGGATATGAGCTGTCCCAAAGCCTTTTCTCTCGCCTTCCATGCTAGATGAGCTAATGAAGGGTATGGGAATGGAGAGCCAGCGACTGCCTCTGTTGCTCTTCTCACTGTGCACTGGAATTCTGTAAGCCCCCAAAACTGGGGCTTTTAGACCTTGCCATGGGACTGCAGCCTTCAATAGCTGGGGAAGCAGGTTGCAAAACTCTGTGTCCTAAACCACAAACCTCATTTTTTGATAAGTGGATGTGTGGCTCTGCCACAATGACAAATGTGGAAAACGCTCCAGCTGACATTAGATTGTAAAGAATGGTAGTCTAACTTAAATTCCTTTTATTTCCATGGATATACTCTAAGTAGGACTAATATTAGATATACCCCCTCCCCAGTTATCTAGGAACGGATGATCTCTACCACAGCCTTATTCTATTTGAGGGCTGTGTGTGTGTATTCACTAATCATTTAATAGAATGGTGTATTTTGATGGCATCCTCAGCTGGCATCTACTCATGGGTCAGGAGGAGAAGGCAATCAGTATGCCTACTGAATTTATGAATTTTTGTCTCCAGCTTCCCAATGACTTCTTTTGTTTTCTTTTGTGTGACGGTTCCATGCCATATGTTTCAAACTCTTGATTTTGAATCTCTCATCTGGTTCATACATCACAACAAGCCACCATGATTAATTTACTCCCAGGGCTGGCTGTTGTG